GCGTCAGGCAGTGAAGGTTGTGTCTTCGTCACCGCTGCTATATGCCACATCAGTCAGAAAAACGCTTAACCGCCCGTCGACCTCTTGGTCGACGGACTTTAAACGGGCGTCCACCAAGGCGAGGAAGAGGTGCAGGTCCTTCTTTTCTAGAATGACCTCCTTCCCACCAGGGAAGAGCGGCAGGCACTGTCCCGTGCCCAAGGAATGCGGCGAGGCATCTGCCGTGCCGCACTTTGCCGCACCACTTCCTGTAACATGTTTCTTTGCAGTCCCGTGGAACCGAGACCCGAGTGGCGCCGCAACCTTCTCCTGGAGAGGGAGCTGTGCGTCAGCGGCTCTGGACGATGAGGAGGCGCAGGCCAGACGGGAGGAGCCTCCACTGCTCGAAGAGGCTGTGCTATGAAGGCCCGTTTCTGTAGTGCCCCCGGTGCTTTTCACTGAGAGGGTGCGCCTGACGACGAAGACGTCGTCGCCAGAGCGAGGTGGAGAGACTCCAGTGGGATGGCAGCGGGCACCCACGCACGCCAGAAATTGCGCCTCGCTGGGGTCCAACTCCCGTATACCAGGAATGGCGTATCGTAAGCCCAGCATCTCAAACTCGCTATCCGTGAGGTTCAGCTCCTGCACTCTACCGAGGCAGCGGGTGAATTCTTTGACCTTCATCAAGTCAATGTCGTACTGCTTTCGAGGCCGTGGGCGGGGCTGTGGAAATGTGTAGAGGGCATCATCTGCGGAGTGCATCGACAACACTGGCTTGAACTTTAGTGAAATGGGAGAGAGGGGGGATTCGGCGTGCGAGAGGGGGCATGGACAAGATGGCGCCCCCTGGGACGAAAAAGTGGCCTGTGTGGGCTTGCTGTTGCTGCTGTTTCCGTGACTCTCAACGTGTGTGAAGGCGTTGCTTTGCTGCAGCCACTGTGGCGAGTAGTGCAGCCGCTCAGCCACCGGGGACACTTGCCTTGCGCCGCTGCAGCTATTTTTTGCGGACGCGCAGGGTTGCAGCGCCAGTCCGTGTGGCGGCAGCTCCCTGCCGGAGGCAGCGCCACTGACGCCGGCAATTAACAGCGGAGGCATTTCCGGCAGCTCCAGCGTCCCTTCAAAATGGGCGGCGTGCAGGCCCGACTCCTGCTCCTGGATTTTGCGGTCCTCAAAAAACTCCTCCGTGTTGAAGGAGAGCGGAGTCGCTACACCCCCGTGCGACGTTGCGAGCGACACTGTCATGCCCGCGCCCGCCGCCGAGTCATGTGTCTCGCCGCTGCCCACGATGGAGATGATGGCGATGTCAAGCACGACGTCCGCCAATATTTGCCTCATGCGGACGCGCTCAAACCTCGACAGCGGGAGGCGGTCCTTTCCCCCGTTGCAGGATGCCGCGGGACACTGGAGGCGGTACTCCAGGACCTCCGCCACGCGCGCAAGCCCGCGGCGCACGTCCTCGACAAAAGTGGGGATTTGCTCCGGGCGCACGTGCGTCCCAGTGCTCTCCAAGTGCCGCTGGTACAGCTTCTCGACCGTCCGCAGGCTAAAGGTGTGGCGCGGCCGCGGCGGCAGGGAAGCGGGAGGCGCCTTTTGTCCGTCCAGCGGCGCTTCTGTCAGCTCCTCTCTGCTCGTTTTTTTACTTGCCGCCGCAGACATTACCTCGCAATTTCTATTATTATATTCTCCGTTTGTTTTCTTTTTTGTTGGTTTTGGATGTTTTTTCCAAAGAAGAAAAAACACGGGACAAAAAACAAAACGAAAAAAAAAATTGAGGGACCAGGGACACGGAGAGAAATCCCACGGGCACATGCAAGGACGAAACACCACCACCGCCACTCGCATCCCACACCGCACCCGCCCCTGTTTTACTGCCGACTGCCGCCTACGAAGGAGCACGCGTGCCCTCTGCGCAAAGAAGAAACGACACTCCGCAACTGCGCCGTTCCCCCCTCCCGTCGCCGCAGCAGCGCACGTGTCACCATCCCAATCACGTCCTCCTTTCGTCGCGCCCCGGCCGCACTTTCCCCCACGGCACTCAAATAGGCCCTCAACTGCGCCACCGTGAGGGTTGGCAGGGCGTTTTGCTCAAATGCCGCCTCCACTAGATGAACCACAGCGTCGCCAACGCCATCGTCGCGCTCGCGACGGTTCACCTTTTCTGCATGGGGCGTCTTTGCGGCAGCTATCCCGCCGCGTTTGGGTTGCGGGCAGAGACGATCCGCGCCGTACGATGGTCCCAGCAGCTTCGCGGCAAACTCGTGGAACAGCGGGGCGTGCTGCGCCATCCCCACGCGGTCAGGCAGCGACATGTCCGCCACGACGCCCGGCTGCAGCGCCCCGGAGACCGCCACGGGACGCAGCGCCATCTCCTGAAGAGTTTGGTGACGCAGCTGTAAAGACGGGTTTGGCACCGCGCTGATGTCGTACGCCACGGAAAGCGACGCGACAACACGCGCCGCCACGTCTAAGTCCTCATGCGAGGGAACCGTTGCGGGGCCAAAACACGGCAAAGAGGGCACCGCACGGAGGTCCTCGGCGTACGGCAGCGGCACAACATACAAGCCGAGTCCTTTCGCAGGGAGGCTGCGCTCTGGCACTGACACGGCTGGAGGGGATGGCGCCAATGCAACTAGTCGCGGCGCCGCTCCCTGCCGGGCCACATACTGCGCGACCGCCACTTTCTTCTGTCGCAGAAGCGTGCGTGTCAGATGAACGAAGAGGCGAAGCGAGGCTTCGCCACCGTCGTGGGGATTAGGACGAAGGAATGTCGACTTGGCGATGGCATGCCTGTGCAGCAAAACGTCTCCCGCGTGCTTAAAGCACAGAATAGAAAAGCCAACAGCGGCCCCCGCCGTCGCAGTGTGAAAGATGTGTTGTCGTTCCTGCGGAGAGAAGAAGAGACGCCGCCCGCCCACGACGGTTGAGTACAGCAGGCGGTCTGGCGTCACAATCGTCTCCGTGTCCTCCTCCTCCCCCTCGTCCTTTTCCTGTTCCTGTTCCTGCTCAGTTGGCCTCGGGTGTTCACGCCCAGCTGCATCCGCCGCCACCGCCCTGCTCGAGCGACGGGGGTCGGAGGCGGTAGGCGGCCTCCGCACGACGAGTTGTGTCCGTCGCGGCACGATGGCGTTTGTGCGGCGGTCCAGCCATTCCACACGCTGCGGGGGCACCGGCAGGGTCGGGTGGTACGCGCTCACCGCCATCGTGGGCACCGGGGACCCGTCCACGCCCACGCCAATGGTGAGCGTGTAGTTTTGGAAAGGCCGCTGCGGGTGCGTCCGACGCCGCACGGCGTGGAGCAAGTGGTCAAACACCTCTACGCCGCCCGTCATGTGCACGGCGCCGACGTGGTCGTGCCCCGTCGTCCCCTCAGCGCCCTGCAGCGCCCCGCGGTGCAGCTGATCCCAAAATATCTCGCGGTTGAACTTTCGCCCTGCACACACGCCGCCTGTGGGCCGCCCGATGGCTTCAGCGCGATCCATGTCATCGTGTGGCGGGGCGTCAGCCACACACGTTGTCCTGTGCGACGCGCGAAACGTTGCGTCTTCGCGTCCCATGTCCAATGCCGCTGCGCCGGTGCCGGGGTTTTCGCCTATGGCAAATACTTCAACTGTCACCTCGGCTTCACACAACTCCCGCACCCGCGCCAAGCATCGCTCCAGTTCAGGCGCGTCACCCTTGTGAGGCGCATCATCATTAGTAAAGATAAAAACCCGACGGTACTTAATCACGTTGGAGTGGAGACTGAGGAACATGTGCTGAGCGGCCCATAACACCTCACTCAGCTGGATCTCCTCCTTTCCCTGCGCGTGCCCAACATTTTTCTTGAACTCCGCATACGCCTTTGAGGACACGTCGCCCGCGGCAGCCAACCCTTCCAACTCCTGCACAGCCTCAACGCTGAGGAGAGCAAAGGGGTGAAAAATATAGAGGCCGGGCAGGTCATAGATGTTACGCCGCACATTGGTGTTGTAAAGGGCCAGAGCGACCAGGTCCTTGTCGCTCATCATCACTTTGTCCTGATAGAGCCCAAGAACACAGCGGACCGCGTCCCGGAAAGGGGTGTTGGCGCGGTTTCCTGCCAGTTCAGAGTCCGTGTCTTTTGCACTTCCTGCCGCCACGTGCGCCCCCCGCCGCACGCTCGCTTCGCCCCCATTGCCGTCCACGTCTAGCCGAAGCGAGTCGTCTGTTGTTGCGGCCCCCCGTGCAAGGCATCCCGGGGCGACGGCAGGAAGCGGCACTGCGCGAGCGCAAGCACCGCCGCGCGCAGAGTTGGCAGCCGCCGGATTGGCGTCGCCTGGGCCACCGGTGCAGCTCTCCCCATGAAACATGCTGAGCTGGCAGTCGACGAGGCACAGCACGGCGTCGCGCCTCTGCTGATGCGACGTGGCCTGCTGCAGCGTGTCCGGGTCCGTCGCCCCGTCCAGCGCCCCCGTCCCAACGGTCGCCTCCAGCCATTCGAAGTAGTCAGTCATCGAACCCCCACACCCACCCACTCCCCTTCCCCGAGTCCGGCGTGCCCTACCCCCGCTGCTACTCGTGAATGGCCGTTACGGCGTCCCCAGGTGTTGATTCGGAAGAGACATCCAGCAACAACGAAAAAAAAAGAGAGAGAGGGGGGGGAAAGAAAGACACGCTTGTGGCTCTGGAAAGCAGTCGGGGGAGGGGGCGCTCTTCATCGGGGAAGTGCCGTGCGAATGCACACACATGCACAAAATAATGAGAAATAACAAGCATACTGGTGGCGTAGTGGCGCAAAGATGAAGCCGCAAGGTGAAAACCCCAAGAAAAACAAAAAGAAAAAAAAGATACACAGAAGAGCACACGTCGGTGTGTGGCAGGAAGCCCTTGGCGGGTCCTTCCTGGACGTGGTTACATATAATGTCGCTGTTGCCCTCGTTGCCGCTTGCACAAATTGGGGCGTCGTCTGTTCTCTCCTCGGACAACCCCCTCACCGAAGCGCGTCTCTTGAAACAAAATAAACATCGAAAGAATTGATTTGCTCTAAGCCGTTCACGACGGACACCGCGAGGCCCCAAACACGGCGTCTCGCTCTGCGAACCACCGCTGGTACTCCTCCTGCGTCATGTGCGAGAGAGGGTTCTCTAGTGGTTTGGAGGGCAGCCCCAGCTTCCTCGGCCCGACCAACGCCATCACATACCTGCCGCCCTTTTTCTGTGCCTCGTCCTTGCCCTTTCCAAGGCGTCGGTCTTTTACCTCAACGTCGCCGCGCCACTCCTCAACGTTATGCGCGCCGTTGGACTCTGACGGCTGCTGGCGGCGGACCAGTTGATACTCCTCAGCAAGGTAGTCCGTGCCGGCCTCGGCGAGCAACGGGGGCGGAATTCGGCTGGTGTACAGCGGGTCACGGACGCCCTCCTTGTAGGCGGTGGTCCAGTCCTCCACCATGCGGTGGTACTCAGCCAAAACTGTAGCATCCCTCGTGCCGGCAGCCTTGCGATCCGCGTTGCGACGAGATCGTTGCAGCCGCTCACGCCTCTGCTCATCCGCCACGGCGTTAAGGCCCTCAACGTCGCGCTGCATGCGACGCATTGTGACGGTGGCCTCCCGCACGCTTGGCATGACAAAATTACGGGCGAACCGCGGCGAGGCACCGTCGTACTTGGCTTCGTTCGGCGCAGTTGGAGTGCTCCAGCGGTCCATCGCGGTCGGTGGAAGCCCCATCGGTGGTTTCTGAGGCACCTGTGCCGACACGGCCGGGTGGATCGCTGAGCTGCCAAGCTGACCGTAGCCGTCAACAAAGAGCGGTGCGCCCTCGCCGCCCATGAAGGAGGCCAGCTGACCCCGTGCGTTCTTCTCCCACCTTGCCTGCTTCTTTCTCTTCAGGCAGACTGCTCGGCAGCCGCGGTGGGGCTCCACTGAGTGAGCCTTCCAGTGGCTTCAACTCATGCACATCGGAGGCGCGGCGTAGGCGATCCATCAAGTCATTTCCCTGCGTTGCAGAGCTCGGGTTTGGCAGGGTATCAGCGGAAGAATGAAAGGCTTCGTTTTCGGGTGTCTCACGCTCCGCATTTTCTAGCGGCAAATTCAGCTTCGAGCGAAGGGAGTTCATCGCCTTCTCCGGGTTGGCGCGAAGTTGTCGGAGGAACACAGACTCCTCCTGCTCTCTGGAAGGGGAAAAAGGCTGCCTGCCAGGGGGTGTCTGCTTGCTCGGGGTCACTGTGCCGCAGGATAAGGAGCGGAAGGGGGAGCTCCGCTGCCAGTCCAAAGGGGCGCCACTGCCCTCCCGAACCCCTGCAGTGGGCAGGGCTCTGGGCTGCGGCTCCTCCTCTGGCATCTCGCTCAGGAGAAGCGTGGTGAGGTGGTGGGCCTTCTCGTTGTCCTCCGCGTCACGCACCGCGGCCGCCTTCACCAACGCCTCCTCTTTGCTCTTCTCATCCAACTGGGAGGCGGCGAAGAGGAAGCAGCGGCGGTAGTGGCGGACGTTGGGGGTGAGCGCCATCTCGCGCCGCCTCTGTCGGTGCTGCGGCAACCCAATTGTCACGTCGGAGTCGATGCTGGAGACACAGAACTGGATGCTCTTCGTGTCCGGAAACTGCAGCACGTACCCCACGCTGATGGCCTCCTCCACCGTGATCTGAACCCGCGGTCGGCTGCCCTGCAAAAAGATGTGGATAGGCGGCGGGTTGCCAAAACGGGTCACATTGACAAGATCGAGCCGCTCCTGGTGCATCTCCGCAAGCTCCTGCTGCTTGGTCTCCGTCTTGCGCAACTTGTCCCGGCCTTCAAAAAGTGTTTTTAGCTGCTCTAACTGCGGCATCGCACTGACCCGCACGCGCGCGTTTGGTTTGGCAGCGACGGCTCGCTGCCTCGCCAGGAGAGGCTCCTCCTCCTCCTCCTCATCCTCCTTGAACACGGAGGGCGGCTTGCGGAGAAAGGACTGTGTGAATGGCTGGTGCACAATGGCGAGATTCACGTGGAAGGGGAAGTTGCTCCCGGCGACAAACTTGCGCCCCTTCTTTGGCCGCGTGGACACGCTTTTCTTCACACGACGCACCGCCTGCACGCCGCTTCCCGCCATGGAGTCAAAACTGAGGGTGCCGGCGTCAGACACGGCGGTGTCACCCGCAGATGCCGGCGGCACCGTGGACGGCCGCGACGGCGCCTCCCCTGGAGGCGTGTAGGAAATATCGTCCCACTTGATGTAGTCCCGGAAGCGGAAGCATATGGCCTTCAGCTGCGCCTCCGCGAGCCACTTGGCGAACTCCATGTACGTCCGACCACGCGGTGGCGGGCCCACCAAAGGCATCCGCGAGCGTCCCACGGCATCCACGTCGCACGGGGGCACCGGGGGCGCGAAGACGCTCTGCATCAGCTGCGGTGCGTGGGAGCCGACCTCGCCGGAGTGGCGACGGAGGACTTCAATGCGGAGCAGCGCGTCGCGAAGGTTCAGCCGACTCAGCTTCCAGCCCTCCACCATGGACTTTGACACGAGGCCCAGCGGCCAGCGGTGTCCGATGATGGTGGGCTCGCCGAGCACGCTGCCGGCGCCGTACTCGGCGACGCCGTCGACGATCGACGTCACCTTGCCGTGAAGGATAAGGAGCATCTCCTCGCAGCGGGTAGAGATGGAGGTCAGCAGCGTCGCGGGTGGGTAGACGACAGGCTCCATGCGCTCCTGCACGAGGCGGATAAAACTGTCCGGCGCCTCGCGGAAGAGCTCGCAGCTGTCACGCAACACCTGCGCCAGCGCTGCGGTGTACCGCTGCTCTCCCAGCCACCGCATCCGCAGGGCGGCGGCCTTGGAAAGCAAATTTCGCCGCAGCGCGTCGTCGCGTCGCACGGTTGCCGCAAAACTTTGGCAGGAAAGGCACCAAATGTCGCAGATCGTCTGTGCCCGAAGGACAAAATGTCTTGGTTCCCCAAACAGCACAGACAACTCACCAAAGGAGGCCCCCACCGGCACCTCTTGCAAGATATTCCTTTTTGCGCGAGCAGCACCCACACAGCTGCACGTGCCCGCGCCAAGAGGGGCCGTCGACGGGGGCTCCTCAATCGTCAAAGTGCCGCGCCGCAGGAAGCAAAGCTGGCGCGAAACGCTGTGAGGACAGAGAATAACCTCTCCTGGAGCGTAGCACCGCGGTGCCAGTTGAGTGACAAGGGCGCGTATCGTATGGGCTGGAGTGTCCTGCAGCAACCAGCTCTGACGCATAAGAATCTCATTCATTGGATAATGACGCGTGATGGCCCGCACCCGTGCGGCCTCAATGTACTGCAACGGCGTGGGCAAATAACGACCTGAGACAACTAGCGAAGAAGATAGCTTGCGCGTCTCGCTATGACGCAATGCAAGCTCCATAAGCGCATTATGGAGATCGGTGGCGCGCACACGCATTGTCCCAGTCACTCTTGGGTCATAGACTAAATCGCCCTTGCCTGTCGGCGGCGGCGCCTCGGCGGTAACCGTGGCAAGCCGAAAAGGCTCTAACCCCAACGCCTCAGTGGCACAGCATACATAGGGAGCTCTAAAGAGTTCCGTGCGGGTGGCCAAAAGTGTTGGTTGCCCGACGATTCGCGACGCACGCCGAAGCGAGCGTTGAATAGATGTAGACATATTAGAGGTGGAGGCTACATCACTGGTCGCATCGCTGTGGGGCTCCAGAGGAACAGCGAGAAGCCGAAAGAGCTCTGGCTGAAAGCCCAAGACTCCGTTTAGTCGCAGCAAATCATTGCCAGAAAAGTATTGTCTTTTGCTGCTATCACCAATGGGACCTTTGCGGCTTTGCATCTGATAGTTCACCACCTGAACACTGCCACTCAGCACCACGTGCACAAACAACCCCTCTGGGCACTCACCGGGGTACACAAGCACCGCCCCTGGTTCGTAGCAAACCGGCGTCAGTTTTCCTCTCAACACGGCCGCGAGCTCATTCTCGTCGAGCGGCATTGCGGTTTCAAAGAGGTCAAGCGAGGCATCTACGAGCGCCTTTGCGAGAACCCGTATGGCCTCTTGAAACATCTTGCTCACCTTCGCCGGGTCGGACGCGAGGTGCCGCTGCGTGAGGCGCTGCCGGCTGAGCAGGGAAGACTTGACCGTCATGACTGGGGCAAAAAAGGCGCGGAGGGTGTCGCCCGGGACGGCGCAGAGCGCGGTGTTCATGAAAGACACTCGATCCGGGTCCACCCCGGCCACCTCCGCCTCCATCTCCTCGTCGGCCGCGGCAAGCCCGCTGGGGCGCCGCGTGGACGGCGGGGTAGGAAAACTGACTGCCAGCGCCGGGTCCATCTCTCTCTTTTTCTTTATTTTCCTCTTTTTTTTTTTTCGTTTCTCTGCGCACGAGCCCTGTGCCCTTTTCCCTCGCCCTCCGCCGACGCGTATGCCCTTCTCTCCTCCTCTCCCTCCCTCTCTATCGCTGGCCGCGGCTGCCGGTGCGTGCAAGCTGCTAACGCCTCCTGCGCTTGAAGACGAGCCCGGCAGAACAGATGGGGAGAAAGCTGCAAACACCACAGAAAAGCACACGGGGCACACACGCACGCGAAAAGCGAAACAGAAAAAAAAAAAACATGAGTCACGAAAAAAGGCATTTGGAAGAAAAAAAAAGGAAGGAAGGAGAGAAGGAAGGGGGACTGGAGGCCAGCAGCTACCGGAAACGCGAGAGTAAAAACAAAAGAAAATGAGACGAGAATCCCGTGGAAGCTCGGGGCCCCCGTTAGCAAAAACAGTCTGGCACCAAAGAAATATCCCTCTTTTTTTTCCCTCCGCCACAGAAGCCAAAGGCGGAAAGTACGGCGCCGCCGCAGCAGGGCGCCTCCTTCCTTTCCCTCTGCTCTCCACCTGCGAGAAACACTCCCAATGGCCCACAGACGCATGAGTGCCTCTGCATCCCACCCTACCCCCGTCATCTTCGACTATTTCTCTTCCTTTTTTCTTCTCTTTTCAAAATTCGCAGTGCGCGTTTACCGCCGCACGCCGCGCACGCACACACGCCTCCCTCTTCCCTCCCTCAGCATTGGACGAGAGGGTGGGCAGAAATATCTACATTGAACACCTATCAACATCCGTGCGCTATAACACTTGCCCTTCCTGCGGCCGCCTGTTGGGTTATTTGCTGTTGCCTGTGCCCCCCGCGTGCACGTCGCACCTGCTCTAGTTTCTACTCCCTTTTCCCCCTCCCACGTGTGTGTGCGTGTGTGAGTGGGTGGGTGTCACGCCGCCTCCCCGCTACGCGGCGCCCCTCGTTGAGAGGCGGTTGGCCATCGTCTCCACTTCCTCGTGGGAGATTTTTACGGTTGGCGGGTCGTATGGGTACACGTACTTCTTGAACAGCTCCTCGTCTCTCTTGGCGTAGTCCACATGCGAGAGGCGCTCCACGCTCTCCTTGAGCTTGGCCTTGCTGATCTTCTTCGGCTCCATCTCTGGCAGGTACCGCTTCTGCAGCTCCTCGCGGCGGGCCTTGCTCTTGGCGATCTCCTGTCCGTAGATGCGGTCCACCTGCTCTTGTATCTCTGACTCCGGCACCTTCTTGTCGCTGCGGTGCATCTCCTCGTACGTCCTCCGCTCCCGCTCCTCCCTGCTCTGCCGGAATCGCTCCAGCTGCTGGTCGTAGATGCGGCGAACTAGATCCCCCTCCTCGCCCTTGTTGATGCGGCGCGGCGGGGCACGCATCCTGGAGAGTTCGCGGCGGCGCTCCTCCTCCCGCCGCGCCGCCAGCTCCATCTGCTGGTAGTACAACCGCTGCACAAGTCCTTCCATCTCCGCCTGCCCCAGACGCGGGGAACTCGACTGCGGTTCACCTTCAGTGGCCATCACGCCTCCTCCCGACGCCGCGATCAGGCACCTAAATCCCTTCCGAGCGAAGAGTCAAACGCAAAAGCGAAAAGAAGAGGAAGTGGATGCCGTGCAAGGCAAAAATGCAATGCAGGTAATATAGGCGCACAAACGCCAAGGGCCAAGTAACGCCACGGCCCTTCCTGTGACAGGAAGAGTGCGGCGTGTCCGTGTGGAAGGGACGCGGGGATGCTCGGGTGGCGCTCTACTGCACACGCCGCCTCAACTTCAGCTCCTCGGTGAACACGGCGTGGCTCTCCGTGTAGGCGGCGGTGGGATCATGATAAAAGCTCTCCGCCGGCTGCGCCACGCTGATCGTCTGTATAGGCCCCTTTTGCTCAAAAACGCCAAGAGCGCCCTGTGCACCGCAAGCGTCATCGGTTGCCACGCCTCGTTCGTAAAACAACGAAGACGCCTCCCGCACGTGCGGCGCGGCGGCATCCCACGGAAGCACGTCCAGTTCTGAATGCCCCATGAGGAGGCAGTGGCGCTTTGCCGCCCGCAGCGCCGCGTACGTCTGCGGGAGGTCATCGCTCTGCAGCAAAATAACTAACTCGTACTTGACCTCGTCGGGTTTTCCGGGCACGGGGGCGGGAACACAGGCGCTTCGCGCCCACGCCACCTCCGGGGCGAGGCGACCGAAGTAGCGATGAAACTCCCCGCGGAGCTCCTTCTCCACCCGTCGGTAGGCCAAGCGCAGCAGCTGATCCCCGTGAAGCACCCGATCCGTCGCCTCGCGGGCGAGGACAAACTCGATGGGAGAGGCGGGGTTGAGCACGATGTCGACACTCGCTGGGACGATGGAGGCGTTGTGGAGCAGCGTGTCGACGTCGGCAAAGTAGCCAACAAAGAAGGGCCGCAAAAGCGGGCCAAACACAGGCAGCGGCGTCACCTGCTTGATGCGGAACGGGGCTGTCGAGCGCACTTTAGCCCAAAATGCCGCCTTCAGCGCGTCCTGCCCCGACGCCGCGTCTCCGGCTCCCGGTGCCTCTCTTCCGCCTCCCTCCCGGACGCGCCTGCTGCCGGGGGGTCCACGACCGCCAGACTTCCTCCCACGGCGTCGCCCCACGCGAGACGTGCGTAGTTCTCGTTTGGGCATTTCTGCCCCCTGCGGGGCGGCGACCGTGCCCTCCGCGGGGGCGGCGTCCATGCAGCCGAATAGATCATCCGCCTGCAACCAAGAAGCGTCCGCCGCAGCCTCAGCAGATTCCACCGTGTGTACCTCTTGTTCAGCGACGGGCGGCTGCGGCGGCTCGAGCGCCGTGGCACGGAGACGCCGCTGCACGTGTCGCTCCCACCACTCGCTCTTGGAGACGTCCGGCAACGGCACAGTGTCGCCCGCCGCGTCAGCCGCCTCCGCCTCCGCCGCGCCATCCGCCCAGAGAACCCCGCTGGGGTCCCGCACAGTGAACCGAAACCGTCGGCAGAAGAGACGCAAATACGCCAGGGAGGTGAAGACGGGGAGGGCGATGTACTTGTCCAGGGCAAACACCTGCGGCTTAGTGTCGTAGGGGTCCCAGCTTCCCACAGGAGACGCCAAGGAAAGATATGAGCCCGTCATAAAATGCCGCGTGAACTCCAACTCCGTCCTTGCATCTCGGTTCTCACTTATCGCCAACGCAATCGCGCTTTCTAAGGCATCGTTTTTCGGAAGCCACTCCGCACGCACGCCGGCGCACGCCGAGGACGACGGCGCCGTGGAGAAGCCTGAGCATTCCTGCTTGGCATCGCGAAGCCGACGACGACGCCTGTGGAGCTCCCGCTGCGCCGTCTTACTGACCGCTCTGAGGCGCCGCAAATGCAATCGCAGTTCACGTTGTGTGGCGCCACGACAAAGGCGGCGCGTGGGAGCGAGCATCACAGAACCTGCGCGCGCGCGTGAGCGAAGCCTGTGACTTCGCCTCCCCACGATACTGTCAACTAAAACCACGCAAGCAGGAAGGAGGGAGGGAGGCGGGTGGCGGCAAAGGAGCAGGCGGGCAGGGGCGTACACACCAGCAGGCACAAGTGCACACGTACGCGTCTGTGCCCGCCGTCCTCATCCCGCTCTGGGCGTCGGATGGCGCCGCACTCCCGCACAAAACCCGCCCGCCAAACATGAAAAGAAAGGCATTTCAAAAAAAGAAAAAAGTATTTTTTTTTTACTTCTAAACTGTAAATGACAACGAGAGCGCTGGCAGTAAAAGAGCCCGGTTAGACTGCGAGTGGAAAGGAAAAATACGAATATATTTTTTTTAATGCTAGCAGAATCAATGCCTAAGCCCACCTACGAATCCTAATCCCCCAGTGTCAGAACAAGCTTGCCTTGGGAACTATTGTTATCAATCAACGTGTGCGCCGTGGACACATCCTTGATGGGGTATGTGGCCTGCAACAAGGGGACAATATCCCGCCTTGCCAGGTACGGGAGCGCCTCCGCCTCAAAGCTTTTCACAAGGGCTTCCTTGTACGCATCTGTCTGGTCCCGCAGCTTCGAACAAATAAGGGTGGCGCGTTTCGCAAAGAACGGCAGGATGTCAAATGAGATATGTCGACCGCCCATGTAAGCCAGCAGGACAACCTTTCCGTCTTTCGCCAGAACCTCGCCGTCTTCCTCGATGTACGTGCCGCCCACGACGGGGTCAACGATTAAGTTGACGGCCTTATTCCCCAGCGCATGTCGAACTTTGGGTGCAAAACATTTTCCCGACTCATCGGGTGTTCTGTCAACCGCGAACTTTGCAAACTTCTTGCAGAAATTAACCTTGGAGGCCGAGCTGGTGGCGATGGCGGTGGCGCGGAAGTACTTCTCCGTCAACTGCATGAGCGCCGTACCAACTCCGCCGGACGCAGCGTGCACCAACACGTTCTGCCCCTCCTGCAGGTTGCCGTGTAACTTCAGTGCCTGCCAGGCGGTGATGAACGCCTCTGGAATCGATGCAGCCTCAGCGAAAGAGTATCCATCCGGAACTTTCATGACGCTGCCCTCGTGGGCAACCGCCAAATCCGCGTAGCCTCCCCCGGTGAGTAGCGCCATGACGCGATCACCCTCTTTGAACCGCTTGACCTCCGCGCCGACATTCTCCACCAGACCGGCAACCTCCAGACCCAATATCTCGCTGCTGCCCGCTGGAGGTGGGTATTGTCCCTGGCGCTGCGCTGTATCGGCCCGGTTAACTCCAGCCGCCATCACCCTGATAAGCACATCCCTTGGACGCGACACGGAGACCGCAGGGATCTCTGACAGCTGCAGCATGTCGACACCACCAAAGGCCTTCAATGTCACAGCACGCATTGTCTTCATCTTCTCCGGTTTTTATTTTCCTTCTTTCTTGAGCAATTAATTCTGAAGCAGTGCAGACTCTCGTATTGGAGTGCACTCTCCCCTCACAGTGGGCATGCGCACGTGTGTGTGTGTGTGTGTGAAGACAAAAAAGGAAAAGAAGGGAGAGAAAAGGAAACTTTGCCCATGTGGATGAAAGCATTTGAGTCGACACGGAAGAATAGCATGTCTGTGATTGGGGGCAGGAAGCGGGCCGTGGTCAACAGAAGCCTCAATGCACGTGCGCAAACGGCCACATACACACACGCACACACACAGAGATAGAGAGAGAGAAAGAGAAAGACAAACGCAGCGACAAAATTAAGGAGAATAATACCAATACATAAGACCTCGAAGAAGTCCCCATGACAAGAGCTAAGCAACTGTTCAACGCAGTCCTCTACATCCTCACACACACGCACACACTCTCTCTCTCTTCTAAAAAGCCTCGTCAGTGGCTTACATAAGTATCCCGGCACCAAAACAAAAAAAAACCGCCGACATCACCTCTTCCTGCCCACTGCCGGCCTCGATGGCGCAGACCGCTTCACATCATTTCCAATTAAGCAGTGTTTTATTTGCTTTCTTTTTCCTTGTTGCTGTTGTTGCCGTTGTTTTTACTACTTGCCGTTTTCCCGCTCTAATTATCTCTCTAATTTCTTTTTCGTTTCTTTTCTTTTCACCTTCGTCTGCTTCTTTCTCGCGGGAACTGG